TGTGTGTGTATATACTACATTTTCTTTATCCATTCATCTACTGATGGACGTAGAGGCCACTTCCAAGATTTAGCTATTATGAATTGTGCTGCTGAAGACACGGATATGCAGGGATCACTGTAATATAATGTGATACACAGGGAATCTACAAGGGGAATAGCTGGGTTGAATGGAATTTTTATTTTTAGTTCCTTGGGGAATCTCCACACCAATATACATAGTGGCTATACTAGTTTACATTCCCACCAACAAGGTGGAAGTGTTATTGTTTGCCCCTATAGCCTAGATAGCATTTGCTATTATGTTATAATTTTTTGATGATGACTATTCTTTCTGGAATAAGACAAAATTTCAGTATTGTTTCAATTTGCATTTTTTAATGGTCAGTGTTGAACGTTTTTTTCATGTATGTTTTGGCCATTGTAAATCTTATAAAAAGTGTCTATTCCTTTGAATGACCCATTTTTTGATTGGGTCTTTTATTTTGGGGGTCTAAGTTCTTTATATATCTTAGATATTAGTTCTCTGTCAGATGTGTAACCGGCTGAATTTTTTCCCATTCCATGGGTTATGTCTTCTCTCTGTGCATTTTTCCCTTTGCTGTTCAGAAAATTTTTAATTTGATATAGTGCCATTTCTTGACCCTTGATGTTACTGCTCATATAATTGGGATTCTCTTTAGAAAGTCCTTGCCTATGCCTGTGACATCAAGAGTTTTGCCATTTTATCTTCCACAAGGTTGTTTCTGTTTTCATATTTAGATCTTGGATCCATTTTGATTTTAGCTTACCATATGGTAGGAGATATGAATCTAGACCCAATCTTCTGCATATATATAGCCAATTTTCCTACCATCATTTATACACCTTAAAATGTTTTCCTTAGAGAAAATCTTCATTTGTCTTTATTGATAATCTTTGTTTATTTGTTTTAGTTTAGAAGTACAATGACCCCCAAGGGCTCATGTGTTTGGGAGGTAATTAGCTCTGAGGGCTGCTGGAGCTGACTTCTATTAGGAAGTTGGGTCTGGTGGGAAGAATATAGCTCTCTCCCTCTCCTGTTTCTCCCTTCTATCTTAGCTTCCTGGCTGCCCATAAGAGGAGCATGTTTTCCTTTACCATATCCTTCTGCCATGCTATTTGTGCAGACTGAAACTGTGAACCAAAATACCTCTCCTCCTTTAAGATGTGTATTGGACATTTTGTCCCAACTACAGGACAATGTGTAAGACACCCTCTTTCTTTTCATCCCTTCCTTCTTTTTCCCATTCTCCTTTTCTTCATTCTTCTTCTTTCATCTGGTGTCTTGTTTTACTAATATGTCCAATTTTTAAAAAATGATGTATTTATTTTTAATTGAGAGGGTCTTTTTCTGGTACGCACTAACACTCTCCTGAAATCATTAAGAAAAAATTAGAAGTACACTCCACAAAATGGGGCAAACTCAACATGGAGAAATAGTTTCCAATTTAGGAGTTTCAAAATATTTTGAGAAAAATATCACATCCTATAGCTTCACATTTGCCTCATGGGGACACTGCTCTTCGGAAAGAACATGGTGCTGTGTAGAGCAGCCATTTCCCCAAGTACTTGTTAGCTCTGCTCCTGCAGTGCAAGACCCAATTCTGTGCTGAGTATGTTTTTGGTTTTTGCAAAAAGAGGGAGGCAATCCTCAGAGCTTCTGTGATGTATCACCTGCGACTCCATATTGTCTTCATAAACTGAAGAGTTCTAGCTTGGCCCCCACTACCACCTCTCAGTATCATTGAAAGAATATTGTACCTAACAGTTGCACTTCGGAGTTTATAGCTCAGGCTGAGCCTTCTTGGTTTAGGTTGGAAATCAAAGAAATGGTTTTGTAAACAAGCCCTTCTGTCATGATGTTTCCAAGAAGCTCATTATAACTTTCATAATTTATTTTTTTAAAACTCAGGAAAGCAATGATCAAACTTAATGTTTGGTTTAAGATACAGGAAGTCAGGGCTTTATTAATACTTCCTGAAATACTGAGGCATTTAGAAGTAAATTATATGTTGGAATTATTTTACTCCATTAGTTAATGTACTCAAAAGGTGATTTATTTAACCTAATGACTTTCTGTAAAATTAGCAAAGTGTTTCCAAAGCATATTTATGAGATGAAAAGTAATTGATGAGTTTTTCATTTGGCAATTTTGCAGAATTTTTTTATTATGAAATGAGAATCAATTTATAAGTACCTAAAAGATCTAGGCATTAGATAAAAGAAAACATTTTTTTGGTATAAGAAATATGTCCTATCACTTTAATCAAGTTTATTTCTATAATGGAATGAAAAGTTGTTAGATCTGGTGAAACAATACATGTATTAACACCTTTAAATAGATAAATTTACAGTGACTTTTCACAGTGCATTGGTAAATATTTTCAGCTTGGTTGTTTGAACTTTTGCTACTGAATTGTCTACTTTGTGGACTGCAGTTACAGTTTGATTGCTTGGTGTGACCTGAGGTTGTCCTAACCTGCCTCCTGACCCTAACTTGGTAAATGAAAACACACAAATGTGTGGACACACATACGTGCACATACACATTCAAATTCTGACCTTTGTTTCATGTTTTAAAGAGTAATACCTTCAGGGAAATCATACTTTTCTACTTTTATTTAAACTGGTTGCTTTTCACAAATAATTTATAACTTTTAAACTTAGTTGATAGAAGGTTTTCCAGAAAACTGGTTATTTTTTGAACTGCAATGAACAGCTTGATTGGTTGCCATAACACTGTAGCCCTAACCTGACTCCTGACCCTGACTTTGGAAATTAAAACACCTACACAAATCATCATGTTCATGGACACAAATATACACCCAAACTCTGACCTTTGCTTCATGTCAAAAATAATAATCTCTTTCTGGAAAATCATGCTGATTTTATGGCAAACAAGTACGAAAATTTCATTCCAGTTACATTTCAGGAATAACTTTCCTATGTTCAAATTCAGTAAAGTTCCTTTAATACATTAAATACTCTCACAGTCAAGCATGAAAACGGCTTTGGTTGTTTTTTTGTACAAGCCTTAACCACAGTGACTAGCATCCAGTCAGAGCTTTCCGTATCTATTTTGCTGTACCCACTAGACTGTTTTCCAAAGATCTCTAATGCATAATCTTCCGCACGGGAAGCAGTCTCTTCCTTGCTGTTGTGTCCAAGGGTTTTAGTCTGTGTGCCCCGCTTGCGTGGTTACAAATTTTCACCTTCTCAAATCTGAACCTGGAATATTTTCTGGTAGCCTGTCTACATTTTACTTAGCTTTGAAAGACCAAGTTAACCCCCAGCTCTTACAACAAATTTTATTTTGCTGTTTTATTCCACAGTGATTCCTCCCTTTCCTGAAATTTTATCTTGTTTTTAAAAGTGAGCTTTCCTGTTAATTCCCTAAGTATTTAATTTTATTTCTTTAAATACATAGCATCATTTTCTGATGTCAGATACCATGCTACACTCCTTTTTTTAATAGTCATAAAGTATAGTACTGAACACATAATAGTTTTTGATTGTTAAGGAAGAGTATCAGACATTTGTTTGATTTTCTTTAATTATAATGGCATATTATTACCTCTAAGTAGAGCACAATGTTTAAACACTAAGTTGTTGTTAAGCTTTCTTTTTCTGTATGGGTGGTTAAAGATTTTGATGTATATTAAAAACTTAAGCAATTTAAGCCCTCACACTTTCAATTGGCAGAGAAATGAAATTCATGAGCTAATCATTACTCCACATAAAATAAAAAGGGTAGATTTATAATTCAGAGAAAAGGTTCCTCTTTTTTCCCCAAAGTCCTTTCCTGTCTTTTTCTTGGAGTCTGGTTTCTCTCTCTCTGAAGTCGGTGTATGTCAGAATTTCAAACGTCTTGGAACTATTCACAGTCCTACAGGCTAAGTTTTTTCTGGGTGTTCTGTTTTCTTTGCTTTTAATTCATGGGTTATTTTTTTTCCCTTTACTTTGGAAGCTTGTAGGATATTAGGATGTTCTGAAACAGCGGTATACCTGGTCATAGTTAAGAGCTCAATAAGTGTTAGCCATTGTGCTACTTTTTTCTTTTTTCTTATGAGCTTTCCCTTCAATATGAGCCTGGAGAATATTTCATAAAAATTTTGCCTACCTCTATCTACAACAAAGTGATTTAGTATAAGAAGGAAAGTAGCAAGTCAAATAAACTTGGGAGAATTTAGTATTGACCTATTGGAGAGTTTGGATTTTAATCCAAGCTTATTCAATAAACATTTATTAAGCATCTCCAGTATGAAAAACAGACACAGAGCTTTCAGAAATGAATCCCACTAATTTCTGCAATGTGAATTTCTTACCTCTGTAACTAGAAAGAAATGTTATTTAAAATATAGAGGAGATAAGATTTATATAAATAATTCAAGGTTGAAAGTTAAAAGTGCCCTAAGAAAGGTAGAGATGAAACGAAAGTTCACAGGGGGAAATGGAGGAGCTATTTTCAGTTTAGGGGGTTAATAATTCATAAAAGGAAAAAAAAATTTGAAATGAACTTGGATGAAAGAGCTAGTTTCAGAAAAGCATAAATTTGAGGGAGGTGGGGAGCTGTAATGGACTATGGGTAACTGCAACTTTGCTGTGGTTTCCCCCACTGGGAGATGGAGTTTAATTTCTGTTCCCCTGAGTCCTGGCTGGCTCTGTGACCACTTCACCCAATGTGGCTTAAATAATTGTACATGCGATTCTGGGCCTAAACTCTTGGAGGACTGGAAGCTTCTATTTTATCCCTTGACAACTTTCAATTTGGGATCCAAGCACTCTAAAGAAGTCCAGCTAACCACATGGAGACACTACATGTGGAGACTGTGTAGTGATAGATCTGCCTCCACCTGACTGCCAGCTTTCCATTGCTGTGACAGCGATACATGAGGTAATCAACTTACAAGGAGGAAAGATTAATTTTGGCTCACAGTTTCAGAGGTATTGGTCCATGGTTATTATCTGCTTTGCTTTTAGGCCAGCGGTGAGGCAAAGCATCATGTTGGAAGCAAGTAGGAGGAACTTACTCATCTCATGGCAGCCAGGAAGCAGAAAGAGAGGAGCGGGATCTGGGTAAAACAACACTTCAAGGACAGGTGCCCAATGAACTGTTTCCTCTGAGTAGGCCCCACATCCGGAAGATTACCCCACCTCCCTTCACAGTGAGAGCCACCAGGGACCAAGCGTTCAACATATGAGCTTGGAGGAGACTTTGAAGATCCAAACAAAAGCCAATAAAGTTGAATATAACCGTTTATTTGGGTATATGCTTTTTTGAACTGTGAATTTAAGTTTCTAAATATTGGTTTATCTGCCTCATATTTTACTGATTTGGAGTTATTTATTTGGATGTGCCTTATGTCACAAACATTTTATGGGAAATATTTTCTCCCAATTATAGAAAGCCTTATCCTTGTATTACTGTCTTCTGTGGAAAATAAATCCTTAATATTAATGTACTACAGCTTATCAATTTTTTCTTTCATGTTTTTCTGGGGGTATGTGTAGCATTTTTTAAGTCTATGTTTTTCTATGCTGTTTTTTATAAATTTAAATGGTTTACTTTCATGTTCAAAGCTGCAATTTATCTGGAGATAATCTTTTTGTGTTTAAGTTAAAGATTTAGATTCATTATTTCTTATGGAATATTCCTTTGAATCTTAAATATTTATTGAAAGGATCACTTTTTCCTTTCTGTACTATATTGTCAGCATTATCATAAACTAAATGACTATGTAAATCTATTTCTGTTCTTTTATTCTCTTCCAGTGATTGCTTTGTCTTTTTAAACCAGTTTAAATTAATTACAGTGTTTAAATATTACTATAAACTTACAACTCTTGAAACATACTAATATAAACCCTCTAATTTCTTCAGTATTGTTTTAGCTATTCTTTGCCTTTTTAAAATTCTTTATGTATTTAAAAATAAGATTGTCAATATATGTTTGCTTTTGTTCAATAATCTCTTGAAGTCTTTCATATGTCTATATACATATATATGCTTCATATACTTTAGTTGGATAATTTATGCTTATTGATATTATTATTTTACTATTTCATTTCTCTGACTCATGGGTCTTGGACTTTCTGCCAAGACCCAAGAAAAAATGACATACTAACTCATAAAGTAGATAAAATCCTAGACACTTTAAAGTTCTTGGCAAAAATAGTCCCTTAGTACTTTTCCATATCTATAAACTTCTAGTGATGTCATCTTCTCATTGCCAGTATTGGTAATTTTGCCTTCTGTCTCTTTATTCCTGCTCAGACTTGACATTTATCAATTTTATTGATTTTTTTTAAAGAAATCTATTTTAAAAACAAGTTTCCATTCTTATAATTTTTTTTTTGCTTAATTTGTATTTGATCTTCTCTTCTTTGCTAGTGTCTTAGGTGGAAGTATTGAAGTCAGATATTTAAGTCATTTTGTTTCATGCTATAAATTTCTTTCTAAATACCAACCTAGTTTTATCACATGAATATTAATATTTTATTTTCATTCTCACATAAACACTTTTACATAATTTTTTATTCCTTCTTTTATCCACTGCTTACTGGGAACTGTCTTATTTTGTTTAAACACACAAGATTTTATTACTGACTTCTAATTATATAAAGAACTAAAAAGAAAAAAAAATACACCTCCTGAAAGACCCAATCAAAAAACAGGCAAGTGAAATGAACAGACATTTCTCAGAAGACATACAAATGGCCAACAAATACATGAAAAATGTTCAGCATCTCTGGTCCTTAGAAAAATGCAAATTAAAGAGATACCAAGATTCCATCCTCCACCAGAAAGAATGGTAATCACCAAGAAGCCAAAACATAACACATGCACTTGTGTCTGCAGTGGTTGTAAACTAGTACAGCCATTATGGAAATCAGTATAGAGATTTCTCAAAGAACTGAAATTAGAAATTCCATATGACCCAGCTATTTTCCTTCCAACTATCTTCCCTAAAGTGCTAAAGACATCATACTACAGCAATAGATGCATACCAATGTTTACAGCAGCACAATTTGTAATAGCTAAGTCCTCAAAACAGCCAGTATACCCATCAATAGATGAATGGGTAAAGAAAATGTGAGATCTATGCAAAATGGAGTACTATTCAGCTATATAGAAGGAAAATTTGAGACATCTGTAGGAAAATGGATACATCTGGAAAATATAGTGTTTAGTGAAATAAATCATATGTGCAGGCTTAAATACCATGTGATATCTCTCATCTGAGTAAGGGAAAGTACAAACAAAGCATAATAAAGGGTGGATAGACAGAAACGAGGGGCTAGATCTCCTGCAAATAGGAAAGAGTCCATGACATGGAGGTTGAGGCGTAGGGGGGAGAGGGAGAGGAGGTAAGTAGAATTATAGGAACTTAATAACCTTAATGAACATGTGTGAAGAATAATGGCAACATGAATGAAAATAAGTGAGGGAGATTTAGAAGTGGAGGGAAAGAGGTAGTTGGGAAAGGGAAGGGGATTAAAACAGAGGAACAAACTGTGTTGCGTGTACATGTATCTACTTCCCAAGGTGGACACAAACTTCATGAGTGAAACACAAACATATGTTAGTAAAATAAAAAATAAAATTCAGTTGTGATTGGAAAATATAATTTGTGATATTTGAGTCCTTAAAATTAATTCAGGTCTATTTTATGATCCAGAATGTTGACTATTGTATAAGCATCTTTTGTGTCCTTAAATGTGTTTTGTGTTGCTATGATTGTTCTTTACGTGCTAATAAGGTCAAGTTATTTCACAGTATTGGTCAAATTACTCATACTTTTCTATTTTTGTCTTCTGACAAAAATAGAAAGGGCGTTGAAATTTCCCACAGTAATTATACATTTCTATTTCTGATTCTCTTTTAGTTATGAATGTCTGTTTCTTCTTACAGTCATTTTGCTTCAAACAGCTGTAGTCTGCTATTGTGTAAATCAGTGTTTAAGAGTGTTGTGTACTCTTATGGAAAGGACTCCTTTATCACTACGAAATGACTTTCTCCCTGGTCAGATTCTTTATTCTAATATCTACCGTGCCTAACACAAAACCACTGCTGCTTTTTTTGATTGCTGTTGACATAGTACATAGTTTTACAATTTTTCTTTAGACCTATTTGTGTCTTTTTATTTATAGTGTGTTTATTGTAGGCATCATATAGTTGGGTCATACAGTTGGCAGTCTAATAACCTTTAATCTTTTTACGGGTATAATATTTAATAGGAAAGTTGATATAGTCCTGTTTACATTTCCACTTAATGGCACTTGATGTAGTTGGATTTCTATCTACCATTTTACCATTTTTTCCCATTTGTCCTATATATCTTCTGTTCTCTTTGATTGGCTTCTTTTGTATTAACTAAGTATATTTTTATTTTATTTCTCCTTCTCTTCTTACTAGCTACAAGGTTTGGATGGTTGATTTAAAGATCATATTATATATTTTATACTGTAGTGTATCCTAAATGATAATATAATACTTTGTGTATAGAAACTTACAACAATAGACAACTATCTTTTCCTTCTCACCTTTGTCCTACTGTTGTCATACATTTTAGTTTCTGCAGGTGTTACCAATCCAATGATACATTACCTTTATTTTTGCTTTGCACAACAAATTATTTTAAAATAATTTGTTACATAATAAAAATCATTTTATATTAGCTGAGATGTTCATTATTTATGGTTCTTTCATTCCTTTGTGAAGATACAGATTTTCATGTAGTGTCATTTTTTCTTTTTCTGCCTGAGGACTCCCTTTAATGTTTCTTGTAACGCAGGTCTGTTGATGGTGAATTGTTACACTTTTGTACATCTAAATAAGGACTTATTTCACCAATATTACCAAACACTTTCACTGGATATGGAGTTCTAGGTTGATAGTTTATTTTCTGTTAATGTCCTACTGTGTTATGGCTTGCACTGTTTTCACCTAAAATCTGCTCTCATTCTTAACATTTTTTCTTCTGTGTGGAGTAAAGAAAATGTATTTTATTCTCTGGGTGCGTCTAAGATTTCCTTTTCTCACTTGCTTTTAGCAATATGATTATGATCTATGATGGTTTAGTTTCCTTTGTGCATCTCATATTTTGTTTTTTAGGCTCCTTGGATTTGTGAGTTTATATTTTCCATGAAACTTGGATTAAAAACTGTCCACTATTTCTTCAAATATTTTATCTTTCCTTCCTCCTTTTCTCTTCGAGAGGTCCAATTGCACTTTATTTCGCCCTTTGCAGTTGTCCCACAGCTCATGTACGTGTTATCTTCCTACAGACAGGCAAGAGTAGGAACAAATCGTTTCCATCCATTCGTGCACTGAGCTGACTTCAGGCTGTTTTGCAAACTTTGTAAGGCTGGAAGCACCTATAATTCACCCCACTCTTAGAATGCAGCACACCAGGTTCCAGCTGACTGAGAGTCTTCAGCTATTGGTTTCTGAACTTTAACTGTTTTATACCCCTAGCACTGCGAGACTGTGAAGCCTCTGCTGTGTGGCAGATCCTCTGTAGAGCACGAATCCTTTGCCACAGTGGAAGAATCAGCAAAGCTGGGGATGGGCAGCTATCAGGAAGGTTCAGTTCTAGACATCTGCCTGCTTCCTGCCACCTTGTCCTTTGGGTCTCAACCTTTCTGCATGCCCATACTCTAATTTTTGTCTTCTAGTCTTAGGAAATTGCCCAGTGTTCTGTTGGCTTCTGTTTCTTAGGATCTGCCCTCTGTCTATTTATCTCACCTTATACCTTCTAAAACTCAATCAAGAAATGCCCTAAGAGGCAAAGTGGTACGTGCAAATTGCATTCACTTCATATGTCTTCACTTCTCTTGGAGACTGGGGCTTTTTAAGACTTGACCGCCTTGGAAGACCTTCAAAGCCTTCAGATAGAGTTTTTTTTTTTTTTTTTAAGTATTCACTTTCCTATTTGTTCTTGATTAGAGTATGGTTTGTGTTAAGACACTCCATCCCAGTTGGAAGCAGATGGACCAGAATGATTATTTTTGAATAAATTACTTTTCATATTTCAAAATATAAAATTATTTATAAATCCTATGCTTTATCATTAACATATTTTTTCCTGCTTTAAAGGACATTAATATTTCCATGTTTACTGTATATTCAGGGATTAAATATAGCATCATATTTGCTTTGGATGCAAACTGTGTTCAACAGAAACTTGGAAATTCTCTACTTAATTCTCAAAGTTCCTTAAAGGAGGTGCTGTAGTGAAGTCATTTTCTACATCAATGTCTCTACACACACACACACACACACACACACACACACACACACATACACACACACTAATTCAGCATCTGAAGACTTCAGTCTCAATATTATTCTGGAACTGGGAATTTGTGGCATAGGAAAAAAAGTTTCCATTGACTTCCATTCTCAAAATGTCACTGGAAAATGATTTAAAACGGCAATTAAGCAAATTATTGGCAAATAC